AGGACAAATTCCCCTCTAAGACTGAAACTCAAAGGGAATACACAAACAAGCATGTAAGCTTGCTTGTGACCACATTGGTCTACTGGTGAGTGGAAGAGGCGGAAAGGCATCAATGAAGAAATAGGCTGAGTCCAACCCTAGCCCATTGAATCCCATTGACCTGGAAATGAGAGAGAGAAGAGGAAGAGCTGGTTGGTCCAAAGTGTGGTGAGACCTGAGGACACTTGAGCTCATAGACCAGGACTTAGCCACAGAGGGCTAGAGCTGAGAGTGAAGCTTCCAGCTGATATGAAGTGAGGGAAGATGCACAAGAACACCTCAACTTGCAACTTTTGACCTAGCCTGGATGGCTCAATAATCAGAACTCGACTAGAGGAAGATTGAAAAAAAAAAAAAATTTTTTTTTTTTTTTTTTTTGTTCCTGGATAAAGGAAACAAGGGCAAATTGCTTCAATTGGGTGAACCTGACCTATACTCAGAGCGATAGTTACTCTAAATACTAACAGAGAGGGAAAGCGTCTTCACATTTAGTATCAATGCTATCCGCTCTGTACACAGGGTAGATAGGGATGGGCAACTTAGGCATTGGCTACCTAAAATGAGGAGGCAATAAAGGCATGAAGTAACTGGCTTACAAGGTTTCAAGAGGGAGTTTAGTTTAAGAGTATGGGGGGAAAGAAAGGGTCCCCACTAAATAGTTGTCATCTTGTCCAGATGGGTCTGGTGAAAAGAGATGGGGATAAGATTCATAAGATTCAGTAGTGAATAATTGATATCATGACTAATTGCGACTGTCACAATTGTAGAGGTAGAAATTTTGTAACAAAAAAAAGGGGAGTGGTTAATCTTACAGTCCAGAAACAGAGGACCCTAGCACCATCAAGAGAGAAGCACCCAAGCAGAATGTGGGACCTTATCCAGAGAAGCAGCAGCGCCAGAGATGGAGGCAAAGACGGGGGCATGGAGAGGGGGAGTGGCTGAGGACTCTAGATTCATGGACTAAGAAGAGAGGGACTAAGAGCTGGTGGCCTGGAGGCAGACTTGTAGAATATACCCTTAGGAGATGTAAATTATTGTATATGCCTGCGTATTTTTGTTTGTTTGTTTGTTTGTTTGTTTGTTTGTTTTTTAAAAAGCTAAAGTGGATAAAGAGAAATACTGTGAACTGATGGTACACGCAAGGGATTATAATCATTGTAATGAAACAAGGTGTATGATTTGTTGAATGTAAAACTGATGATATGCCCTGTAAACTTTCACTCAATCCACAATAAAATCCTTTATAAAAAGAAA